TTGCAATACTGCAAATGGCCCAGTGGAAACCTGGACACCAGGTGGAAATGTGGAAAACAGAAGTGTAGGGTAATGATGAAGTTAGGATGCTGCTGAGAAATGCCCTGGAGTCAAAGGCTACGCCATTGTGAGCCACTCAGTGAAAGGCATAGGGGTGGGCACAGAAGGACAAATGTCTCAGACTGATGAAACCATACTTACAGGGGGACTGACAGCAGCTCCAGGGGATGGCCACCTGGACTGCTGAGATGGGTCTGGTAGTGAGCAGGGACACGCTGCCTGGCCCTGAGAGGTCTGCTGCACAGCTAGCACTTAATTGTCTGAGAGCAGTGAGGAGCCACCGTTTAATGTAGCTGTAGAGTAAGATTCGTCATCACTCATCCATCCACAGAAAAGCTGGTGCCCATGAGTGTGAGACATTAGGTGTTGGGAGCTGTGTTTAGGGCAGTGACAAACCAAAGAAACAATGTCCCTGCTCTCAAGGGCCCCAAAGACTAAGAGGACAATGCATGATAAACAAGTAACTGGTTAATTTTGGAGGGGTGCCTGCTGTTAAAGAAAGCAGACTAATGGGATAGGGTAGTGGGAAGGGGCTGCCCCTTTAGAAATGGTCAGAGGGCCAGGCACAGTGGTTTACACCTGTAATCAGCATTTTGGGAAGTTGAGGAAGGTTGATCACTTGAACTCAGGAGATTGAGACCAGCCTGGCCAACATGGCAAAACCCCATCTCTACCAAAAATACAAAAAATTCATCAGGTATTGTGATGTGCTTCTGTGATCCCAGCTACCTGTGACGCTGAGGTGAGGATCGCTTGAGCCAGGGAGGCAAATGCGGCAGTGAGCCAAAATCGTGCCACTACTCCAGCCTGGGTGAGAGAGGGAGACCCCTATCTCAAAAAAGGAGGGGGGGGGGTCAGAGCAAGGAGCCACAATCTGCACAAAAAACAGGTCCAGCAGGAGAAACTCCTGCGACAGCCTGAGGGTAGAGAGAGAGAGGGTGGCACGAGCTTGGCCTGCTAAGGGGGCAGTCAGCAGTGATGGGAGTGGAAAGAAGGTGGCATTAGCAAGGAGGGGAGATGCTGGCTGAGGCTGTGAGGCAAGGAGTCTTGGGGCACAAGTGCAGCTCACAAACCCAGGGCTGCAACGTCGGGTCTCATTGTTTTTTTCAAATCAAGTAAAATCTGACTCTGAGCCTCATCCCATCCAACACTGGCCAGGAGAGGCTTTGTCACCCACCCTGGAGGCAAGTCTGTCACAGAACCCTGTCACAGAACCATGTTGGCAAGTCTGGGGGGCTCTGGACAATGAGGGCTGGGCTGCTAATATTTCTAAGTAGAAACTCCCAGAAAGAGGCCACTGCAGGCTGGGGCTCCTCATGAGCCACGGGGCTGGTGAGCTCTGGTCTCCATGGTCAGGAGATGTGGGCCTCTGTGACCTCTTCCTGGCCCCTCTCTCAGGCCCTCAAATGCCTCATTCTCTCCGCTCCCCTAGCAGAACAACCCAGAGCCAGGGAGGCTTCAGTAAAACAAAAGACAGGTTGTCTGCCCTTGCTTAACTTCCTAGTGGGTAACTCAGACCTTTCCGAGGCAGAGGAAACGACCTTGCTATTCCCTGGAACTAGGGGTGGAAGCAGTAATTACCAGCACATGTGTTCTAGAAAGATTATGTTGGCTGCAGAAGGAAGTATGTAAGTTAGATGGGCAGGAAACACATTTCTGCCATAAAGATATTTTGCCAGTGACTGTGCCTAACTTCAGGGTCTACCTTCAGCCCAGTGAGGGAAGTCCTGTATCCCTGACTGGCAAGGTGCCTGCACTCTCCAGGCTTCATTCAGTGAGTCACAGAGTGGATTCCAGGCTTCCCAGCACTACTGGGAGAGAGCAGGACTCTTTTGTCTTTGTGTCTGCATGGAGAATTCTCATCTCAAAAGCCAAACCTTGGAGTTGTTGCTGACCCCACACTTCAAGCACAGACTTTAAAATAAAAGGAGGTAGAACACATTTACTTCTTACTGGTTAGGAAAAGGTCAAAGAGCTGTAATTGCTAATACCCACCAGCTAATGACAGTGTCTGGCTGGCTTACTGGGCTCAGAGCCTGGAGGATCTGGAGCAGCCCCATGGGGCCGGATGCACCAGGTGGCCTTGTTGTCTGTGATGTCTCCTGGAGCCTCCAGCTTGGATGCCTCTCCTCTGAGCTCAGCTTTACACTCTCTACTAGCTGTTATGTGGACACCTTCAGCAAAAGCACAACTTTCCTGGTCAAACGTATCTGTCCTTGAAACTCATTCTACCTTCCAAATGCCACGGCTCCTAAGTCACTCAGGCTGTCCTCTTGAGTTCTTCCCTTCTCTAGATCCCCCAACCAGGCTGCCAAAACATGGACTCTGAAATGAGGTGGCTTTTGTCATGGCAGCACAGCTATGGCTCTCAATTCTAACAGAATTCTGTGGGAGAGCTGAGATTGGTTTTTCCCTACCTCGATCCTTCTGCAACTCCTTGTAACCTTTAGATCATTCTTGTAAAGCTGGTTGGCATCTGAAGGCCCACAGAGCAAGCAGAATGGTTAAGTAGTCATTGAAAAGCCTCCCCCATATTGGAATAAAGCATGTGAAACAGCAAAATATTCAAAAATCTCTGTTCTGAGAGAATCTGTAGAGACATCCAGAGAGAAAAGAACAATCTTTGCTGATTGCTTTATTTTTAATTTAATTAATTGATTAATTATAAAAGACAGGGTCTTGTTCTGTCACCCAGGCTGAAGTGCAGTAGCACAATCATGGCTCACTGCATCCTTGACCTCCCCGGGCTCAAGTGGTCCTCCCACCTCAAACTCCTGAGTAGCTGGGACTAAAGGCACACACCATCACACCCAGATAATTTCTGTATTTTTGTAGAGATGAGGTTTCACCATGTTGACCAGGCTGGTCTTGAACTCTTGAGCTCAAGTAATCCACCCACCTCAGCCACCCAAAGCACTGAGATTATAGGCATGAGCCACTGCACCCGACCTGTAGATTCCTTAAATACTATCTTCTTTAGACAGACATGTCAAGTTTGTATCTATGCTGAAGTTAACCAAAAATATGACTCACACTCATTTCAATTTTTTATTAAAATACTTTTTTGTTTATAGGGACAACCAAAGAAAAATACACAATTTTATATGTTGTAAATCATATAAAATACAATAAACATAAACTCTTAGGAGTGCAGAATAGATTTCAAAAAATCTTAAAAGGAGCTTTCATAAAAATAAACTTTAGAAATGTGGCTTACATTTTCGGCTTTTTTTCAGAAAACTTTTAGTTTATTTTCTCCATTTTTATGCTACCCTGATTATAAATAATTGTTCAAATATTCTAATATCTTGCCAATTTTGCTTTCTGAAATTTTAGAAATCGCACGTCTAGATGAAGACCTCTCTTTTACACCACCCTAGGTAAACACAGGATAGATTTTATTTAAATTATCATTTGATTTGGCGCCATTATTGTAAATAGAGTTTTAGTAATAATTAAATGTTATGAGGGGAAAAACTAACAGAAAACCTGCTACCAAGCACATGTCTTACAATAAGAAAGGATCTTTCATTTATGGCTTTTATGATACCCACTGATTTAAAATCTAGTGCTTTTAAAATCTGGTTATAAAAAAAGTAATAACCTAATTATTATTTATTTATTTTTGAGATGGAGTTTTGCTCTTGTTGCCCAGGCTGGAGTGCAAGGGAGTGATCTCCGCTCACCGCAACCTCCACCTCCCGGGTTCAAGCAATTCTCTTGCCTCAGCCTCCCAAATAGCTGGGATTACAGGCATGCGCCACCATGCCCGGCTAATTTTGTATTTTAAGTAGAGATGGGGTTTCTCCATTTTGGCCAGGCTCGTCTTGAACTCCTGACATCAGGTGATCTGCCCGTCTCAGCCTCCCAAAGTGCTGGGATTACAGGTGTGAGCCACTGTGCCCAGCCAGTAATAACCTAATTTTTTATTAAAAAAGAAAAAAAGAATTTTTACCAAAACTTCAATATAGAAGTGAATGTGCTTAGAATTGTAATAGAGGATCTAACTTTTAGTCAGGCTATCAACTTCTTCAATGTTTACTTTCAATTTGGAAAAATATTGTTATTTACAACCTGAAATATATTATGAAACTGGAAATGGAATCTTTTAAGCAAATTCTTTCTTTCAACTCCTCATAAATCAGAAAAATTAAGCCAAATTTGAATGCAAAAGATCATTACATTTAGAGACAGTTTCTAATGAGAGAAATCGAGGTAAGAAAAATCAATTAATGTGGTTTATGAAATTATCCTCCGAATGTAGGGGGTGGGAAACAGATATTACATTTTAAAATTTAATAATGAAGACCTAAAAAAGATAAATATAGTTTTAAAATATTTGTTGTCATCATTAAGAAAACATTAGGCATGTTGCCAACACACACAAAAACACCACTCTACTCACAGGTAGGAAATGACTGAAAAACAGCAGAGTTGAATTGCAGCAGGAGGCTGCAGATTTCTTTCAGTTTTCTGTCTAAAGTTCAAGGACACCTTCAGCTCTACAGGTGCTCGTGACAAAGGGAGCTAAATGTTTTCAAGGCACTTTTAAACAAGGCATTCTAGGCGAAAGGAAGAAAAGGAGACCCTAATGTTTTCCTACCGAAAAATATATCTATGAGCTAAATCTCAACTTTTTAAAAGGCTAAAGTATCTTGAATATTCATTAGAGTTATCTGAAAGAGCAGAAAAGGTATTAAGACTTTAATTTATAATAGTTGATCATAATATTACAATGATCTTTTAACTAATTACTATTCAGATCATGAGTAATACAAAATTTTACCAAGAGCATTATCTATTTTTATATACTAAAATATGTGATGTATAAAGAGGTATTCCTAAAAAGTTGCTTGTAGTTTAAATATGCACTAGAGAAATTAGTAATTTTGTAAAATTAAGTCTGTAATATAAATATTTATGTTTTAGACTTATACTTAAAGATTGAGATTTTATTACTATGAAGGGTACCTAGTATCTTTATTGAAACATTTATCGAAACATTATATAAAATGTTGACTAAATATTCTGTAGTGTATTTGGAGTGAACATCATCTTGAACAGAGATTTTAAAATTTCATAATCTTAACCTCCCACAATGTGATTATACTAGTTTAAAGAGAACATTATATCCAGATATAAACTAAACAAATGAAAGATTACAAAATATGAACGTAGATAGTTTTAAGTTTGTTTCCTATTATAATTTCCAGCATTTTCAACCTGCCCTGTTCATACCAGTAAGTTCTCTTCTTCAATTCCTGTCCCATCACTCATCTGCTGGAAAATCCTGCTCTGTCTTGGCTAAGGCTGCACAAGCTTAGTCTCGCTTCCGGCTCAGCCTCCCGTTTCAGCTACACCATTTCCCTACCAGGATACAAGCTGTTCCCCGGTGCTCTAAGTGGAGTCTGATTTGGCATTTGTTCCCTATCCTAGTGCTCTTTAAGCTGGTACCTTAAGTTACAGAAATGCTTTCACTTGCTAATTATTTACCTTAGCAGTGCATTTAATGCAATTTCATAGGTGTACCCTAAAAATCTTGGTAAAGATTCTTCATCACTGCCTATGTCAGCACTTTGGGCAGGGGAAATGGAAGAGAATGGGAAACTTTCCCTAAAGCTTTGTCATTGCATGTATTATAGAATGGATTCTACTATGTAAGAGTTCACAATTATAAAATATGGCAAGCATTTACCTTTTAAAACCAACATAAAAGGGCTGAAATTGAGCTTTTTATGTGTTATCAGAGTGGTATATCAAATATCTACTCTATTTATATAAAAACCAATAATACAAGGAACAGTGAGGAAGGATGTGCAACTATAAAAATTCAGTATCCTAAGAGTAGCACATGAAGAAATCATAATTCACATCAACATACTTCTGCGAACACTTTCAAAGCAAAAACCTTTGGAATGTTACAAGAAAATCACATCAGGCTTCATGTTAAGAACCTCAGATCTTTCAAGGAATTCTCTGTGCACCTGCTTCTCATGTGACCAAAGCTGTACATGTATTCAAAGGAAAGGGCTTATTGCTAGGGGGCAATACAATCAGTAAGAACAGTTATATAATTAAACACATCACTGGCTATGTCATATTTTAAAATAAACTTATTTCAAAGTTTTTATATCTTAACTTACTGGCACTCTAATGCAAACAACAGACTTACTGAATAACTTTTTATACCTTTTATTTTGCTAAGTTGCCTTGGTTTGCATCTCTCTTTGTTCTTTAAAACATGCAGTTCATACATTTGACAGTTTTACTACCATAGTCAATACATTCTGGACCAATGCACTCGCAGCAGGCATTATGAAACCAGCGATATTTGGATGCTCCCATGGACTCGCAGGATATTTTACACTGATGTATGGACATGCAGTCATCAAAATAAACCACAGTACACATGTGTTCTGAAAAACAAAAATTTAAGATTTCAGGGCAAGAAAGAAGAAAACCAAAAAATGCTTTAATACCTAGCTGAATACTAACAGTTATTTATCTTAGTTCTCTTATTGTTGGTCTGCACATGACAAAGATGAGATACAGGAAAAAAGGTCTTCATTTATTAATTATGTTGAGAAGGAAGTCATATTCTCCATCTGAAGAAGGCAAAGGGCTTCCTTAGCTTCTTTTATTAGATTTCAGGCTTTGATCTAAAGGTTAGATTATTGGGCTTAAAAAATGCACTACTATACAGCTGTGCTTTTAAACAGGGCTTTTTTTTTTTTTTTTTTTTTTTTTTAAAGATGGAGTCTTGCTCTGTCGCCCAGGCTGGAGGGCAGTGGTATGATCTTAATTCTCTGTAGCCTCTGCCTCACAAGTTCAAGCAATTCTCTGCCTCAGTCTCCTGAGTAGCTGGGACTACAGGTGTGTGCCACCACACCCAGATAATTTTTGTATTTTTAGTAGAGATGGGGTTTTGCCATGTTGGCCAGGCTGGTCTCGAACTCCTCACCTCAAGTGATCCACCTGCTTCCGTCTCCCAAAATGTTGGGATTACAGGCATGGGCCACTACGTCTGCCCTAAACTGGACATTTCTGATAAGATTTTCTATGAAAAGAGAATTCTCCAGCCAAAAGAAATTTGAAAAATGCTCTTCTAAAGTTATACTGAGAATTTACAATAACATAAAATAAACTTAAACAATTCGAATGATACAAAGTGATTAGCAATGCTTGGCACAAATAAGCATCAACTATTTAAAAATCTTCTTCTTCTTAGGCTGGGCTCGGTGGCTCACAACTGTAATCCTAGCACTTTGGGAGGCTGAGATGGGTGGATCACTTGAGGTCAGAGTTTGAGACCAACCTGGCCAACAAGGAGAAACCCCATCTCTACTAAAAATACAAAGATTAGCCAGGCATGGCGGTGTACACCTGTAATTCCAGCTACTCAGGAGGCTGAGGCAGGATAATCACTGGAACCTGGGAGGCAGAGGCTGCAGTGAGCCGAGATGGTGCCACTGCACTCTAGCCTGGGCAACAGAGCGAGACTCTGTCTCAAAAAAACCTTCTTAATAGCAATTCCTAGTCTGCTTTCCAGTAAGACAACCACTTTTGATTACTTCAATTTTTAGTTCTCCTGGTGGTTAACTCTGTATGACTAGTTAGGAGGACAGGGTACATGAAATAAATAAAGGATAATAAAAACCATTAACAGAGGGTATATGATCAAAGGCTAAATTATTTTTTCAAAGCTATTATGGAACCAATAAAGCACCAGGAGTCTGAATAGTAAAGGAAGGCTTAATGGAATAAACTAGATTTGCATTAGAAAGAATGAAAAGCAAAGCTACTAAGTAACAAAATGAAAGTCATATGGAGATGGGTATAGTATGCATACTGTACCCACAGAGTGGAGGCAGCCCAACTATAATGGGTGGTTGATATCAAGAGATGATGGAACCACCACTGGGTGGGACCTGGTTGAAGAGGAAACTGGAGCAGGAGCATAGCAGCACCATTTCACGCAGACTAGAGGGCTGGCAGTAAGTGGGAGGTGGAAGCATGAGTATCTCCAAGTGATCAGTACATAATAAATTCAATTCATTTATTTATTCAACAACTACTTGATATCTACTATGGGATATCCATTATGAACTCAAAGTGTAATCAGAGAATCCACAGAACTAAGTAGAAAATGATAGATCTGTAAGTTAAAAACAGACAATAAATAGAACTGCAAATGCAGGCTGGGCGTGGTGGCTCAAGCCTGTGTAATTCCAACACTTTGGGAGGCTGAGGTAGGTAGATCACCTCAGGCCAGCAGTTCGCAACCAGCCTGGCCGACATGGCGAAACCCTGTCTCTACTAAAAATACAGAAAATTAGCTGGGCATGGTGGTGGGCGCCCACAACCCCAGCTACTAGGAAGGCTGAGGCAGGGAGGTGGAGGGTGCAGTGAGCTGAGATCACGCCACTGCGCTCCAGCCTGGGCAACAAGAGTGAACTCTATCTCAAAAAAAAAAAATCTATGTCATCTTTTTAAATAGCTCCATAGACTGTGTGGGGATACCACGATTTATTCACCCAACCTGTAGTGATGAAC